TCAGCACTATCCACTAAGCTACCAACGCCCCTATTACTGCCGTTTTCATCACCTGGTGTAGGAGTGTAGTCTGCACATAGCATGCACAGGCCCCATGCACAGAGGTGCCACCTCGCCGCAGTGGTCACAGGCTCGACCCCAGCCTGCAGCCCGTGTCATTCCCCCATTCTCTATTTCCCCACTTCATGCTGTCCTAAAGCAAAAGGCCAAATAACAAAAAACAGCAGTAATAATTCTATAACTTCATGTAGAGTTTCAGCTTTTTTGTTGTTTACATATGGCCATATATTTGAATATATTGAATGTAACCATGTGTACATGATGTGTATATAATGTAGACAAAAATGTCTGCACTCTTCTACAGTGATTTCTTTTTTCTACACCAGGTGATGAAACCAGCAGCAGTGAAAGTAATGACAACAGGGCTCCAGACTGCGCCTAATTGGTCGCATTTTGCGACCTTTTTTGGAGGCCGTGCGACAGTTTTTTAACTAGGAGCACCAGCGCGACTTACAAATCCACCCCTCGCTCTCTTTTTCTTTCTTTTTTTTTATAATTGCATTTCATGAAGGAGCGGAAGCGAGTGTCTGTGTGTGTGTGTGTGTCTGTCATGTGTGTCTGGATGCGCACTGCGAGGCGGGGGGGCACCAGTAACCATAGCAACGAGCAGCAGTTTTAGTACGTGTGCACTGTGTGCGGGGTTAGACAGAGAGGGGTCACAGAGCCGGTGACGAGTAGAAAGTGCTGTGTCGTTTGACCATAAAGTAATGCTATGAAATGAACTATAGATTCGTTTTTCACAAGAAAAAATAATCCAGAAACTCCTGTCGGTCCTGTGCCAGTTTCCCAAACTTCTGACGACGATAGTTCAGAGGACGAGTCAGCAGGTGATGTCACAGCACCAAAAAAGCCAAAGCCCTATCATTTCGGACAAGAATGGCTCACTGAATTTACGTGGTTGAGATACTGTAAAGAAAAGAAAGTGATGTCCTGCATGTACTGCTCTCAGTGCGGTCCGAAATTTGCGGGGAAAACTAAATTTGCTGACTCCACCACACACTTCAAACATGAAACGCTGATTAAGCACAAGAACAGCATCAGGCATAAATTATGCAGGGACAGATGCAATGATGGAGCAAAAGCGCCGCTGCACACATCATTTAAGAGGCAGGGTTGTCTGTGTTTATTGCTAAATTATCAGTAATGCAGTTAATATAGACAAAATTATGAATATGTTGTGTTGATATAGATAGTGCTCCTAAATTTTGTGTTGGTAGTCCTAAAATTTTCAGTAAGGAGCACTGGTGCTCTTAGTGGAAAAAGTTAGTCTGGAGCCCTGGACAACAGGAGCAGCAGTGATGAAGACTCTGACGGAAATCATGATGCACTTCCTAGCACCAGATGAGCTCTGTTTCACACTGGATTATAATCGTTGGTGTTATAGCCAGGACATTTAAAATAATTGTGTGGCATCAATAAAATCTACATACCTGAGATGGGAAAATGTGTTTCCTTACTTTTTTTTCTTACTGCCTGCTGTCGCTAATTTGCATCATATCTAAATTTATATCTATTCTATGTGCTAAGACAAATTAACAATCTCCACTTAATTTAGCATCAGCTTGAAAGCAAAAGCACATATCTTTTTTTTTTTTTTTTTTTTTTTTTAAATATAATGGTAAATAAATTCAGGCCTGGTCCTAACTGCTAAGTCGGTCTTTGTTAAAGGGGAAGTTCCGTTTTTTACAACCTGGACCTTATTTCTGGCATTAAATACGGTTGTTTACTCACCCAGATAAGTTTGGTGTCATTTGGAGTCCTTCGGAAGATATTTAGATCCGCGAGCGCCGCGTACATCCATATAGTGGGAATGATCAGGGCACCGTCAATGAGGCTCTAAATAACACATTATCTGCCACGAAACTCATTCATTTCACCAATATGTTTTTATGAATCGCTAGAGTTACTTGTCATCATCATCCGGGTCATTTATACTGACCTACTAACCTCTGACCTGGATGATGTCATCCAGAGGCAATTCGTAAAGACAGTCCTCTTTACCACCGAAACATTCACCTTTCTGTTTCTCACTTTTTGTCACTGAGCACTATGTAATAATAAATTCACGTTTTGCATAAGAAGTGCCTCTGCTTTTTGTGCAGTGTGTTCTACACAAGCGATGAGAAGAAACTAAAGAAATGTAAATTCTCATAGTTATTTACTTATCAAGCAAACAAATTCAAGGAAAATAAACATATGCATATGTGTAGGCTACTTACTCAATCGAAAGTTGCCCGTTCGGTCCTGCAGGCTTTGACTGGGTCTTCCAGTTTACTTTCGGGACACGAAAAAAACAGCCCAGTTGATCATAGAAGTGAAAATCCTCTGTAGTTGTGAGACGGTCATTTCTGGAGACATCCAGACGTGTATCCCCTGGCCTCAAATCCCACTCGAAGCAACAAAGGCATTCCTCCTCTGTTGGCATAGTGGAACATTGTCCACAAGAACACCACCAGTTAGCATCTATTCTCGGACGTGCAACGGTTTGTTGTTCTCTGGCCAGCTGTTCCTCTCTCTGCCTCCGCATCCTCCTTTCAAAGAGCTCCTCATCCGTATACTCTGGCTCAAAACGGTAAGGACGTCCATCATATTCAAAGTCGTCATCCACAACCTCAAAATCTGACAAATATTCATCCATGTTTCAAAAAACTAACAGTAGAAAATTCCAGTTGTAAACAGAGCCGTGCCGTGAGTGTGCAGCGGCGCGCGCACCTGGATGACATCATCCAGGTCAGAGGTTAGTAGGTCAGTATAAATGACCCGGATGATGATGACAAGCAACTCTAGCGATTCATAAAAACATATTGGTGAAATGAACGAGTTTCGCGGCAGATAATGTGTTATTTAGAGCCTCACTGCCGGTGCCCCGATCATTCCCACTATATGGATGTACGTGGCTCTCGCGGATCTAAATATCTTCCGAAGGACTCCAAATGACACCAAACTTATCTGGGTGAGTAAACAACCGTATTTAATGCCAGAAATAAGGTCCAGGTTGTAAAAAACAGAACTTTCCCTTTAAGACCAGTCTTTAAAACCGACTTTACATTGGTTGCACGAACCAACCTTAACGTCCGGTCTTAGAGATGCACGTTCATGTGAATGCCCAGTGACTATGGCCTCTGCCTAGCAGTGTACACGTTCCTAGGATATGTTGTTAACATTCTCCCATCGCCTTCCTACTGTGTTAAGCCCAGTTCAGTTCAAAAATTCATGACAAGACAAAACAATTTCAGAATGTTGCAGGAAAAGCAATGTGCAGCGATGTGAACTGGCCAGTCTGATCATGCCACCTGCAACTCAGCTGGTCAAATCGCTGACGGCTGGTTTTAGAACATAAAGCATGTCACCCGTTTCTACAACCAGTCCGCTTGTAGTGAAGATTTTCCTATTTTTTACTATTAATACTGTATACAGAATATGAATCTCACTCTGAGTTACTGTTATTGTTCAAGGAAATGAGAGATCATTTTCTTTACTTTTGACTGAATATTTGAAGGCGAACTATTAGGTTGACACGTGAAACTATATCACTTATTGTTTTGCAATTCTATGTTCATAAATTAATAATATATATATATATATATATATATATATTTTTTTTTTTTTTTTTCTTTTTTTTATTTTTTTTTTTTTTTTTCACTTTGTCAGGAATAGCGTTATCGCAAAAATGCCCTGAAACATCGTGGTATTATTTTAGGGCCATATCCCCCCGCTATATAGAAGAATTTGTAAGTCATACATCATCCTCAAAGCTTGCGCAGGTGCACTGTTATAAATGTCAAACACACCGCTGCAAGCTAGTCAGTCAACTTATTTTGTATTTTACCACTGTTATGACAGCCTTAGTTATATCTCTCTGTGCAGCTGCCCTCCACCTCAGTTTAGTATGTTGTTCATTTTCATAAAGGCATTTGTAGCCTATGTGCAGTGAATGGCTGCAGTCAACACAGTGAATTGCACTAAATCCCACTGGCAGAAATAGCACAGCACACCAACCGTCTGAAATGCAGTTTCAGGATGTGCTGAAAGTTTGCACTGTCCATGTGGTCGTTTGTTCAACAAGCTTAGGGGAAAGACAAGACAGGGTTTTCATGTTTTTTAAGTTAGCTAGATAAAAAAAAGAGACTTTGGCAGAAAGCTAATGTGGTTGTTCAAAGTTTGTGGCTCTCATGTTGTCTATCAGGTCACTGATATACAGAGACAGCTGACATATTGTCTTCACTCCTGCTCCTGACTAGGCCTAAGATTTACTCCCGGTCTTGGCAAGAAGGCAGCTTAAACCTATTTAGTGCAACTATTAGGTCGGGCTTAAAGGCTGAGTTATTGACTTAGCTTAAGACCAGATGTAAGCCCTGCTGATGCAACCGGCCTCTGTTCTTTGTCAAAGTGTACAGTTAAATAATTACTACCAATGGAGAAAATGGGGTGACAAGAAAAAAGGATTGGGACGAGACAGGACTTGAGACAAAGAAATCCTTTGAAAATCAACTTCTACTACCAAAACACAGAGGTCAGTGTGTGCAGCCTGAGACAGAGCAGAGGGATGCAATGCCTTATCTCTGCTCTGCAACTAACTGCAGACACTGCATCACACACACACACACACACACACACACACACACACACACACACAATGAAGGTGTTTGTTGTTCAGATGGCCAGCAGGGCAGGACACCGGCAACAACTTTGCCAGAAAACAAACAACAACAATGGCTGCGTGTCTGAGTCAAAACAACAGTGGTGATTTATGTGCTTTTAGAAGAGAAATGCCCTCAGGACAGTGTTCTTTAGATGGGTAGGGATGGAGGGGACGGGGAGGGAGGAGGGTAATTTGATTAATCGGTAATAGAGCTTTGCGTTCTGGGTCTGTGTGGAAGGATATGAGTCATAGCATTGGCTAAACAGCCAAGTCATAACACTTGCTGCTTGGATCTCACCAGTCTGGACGTCAATGACCATTTGATGTCCTCCCCTCATACCCGGCCTATTGTCATCGCCGTCACCTGCAGAAGAGAGGAAGGAGGAGACAAGGATGGTGTGAGCGTAGGAGACGGGAGATGACGCAGAAGAAAGTGAGAGAAGAGATGATACAGAATAGGTGGAGCAATGAGAGGAGCAGAGGGGAGGGGAGGCATGGCTTTAGCTACGATGCCACTAAGCTTTCACAGTGTGCTGAAATGTTTGATCAACAGATTGGGAATATTTCCCACTTGAATAGATGGTCTCACTGTTCATGTCTTCTCTGTTGATTTCTTGGGCGCTTGTACCTTTGTTGCATTTGGGGATGATCTGACTCCACCTGGGCTTGTACTCCTGCTGGCTGATATACTGGTTAAATAAACCGTCTATCAAGGAGAGAAGAGGATCAAAGATTGCAAAATCACCATTAACTCAGACAGAAAGCAGGCAGAAATAAAGGATTTGACTACAGGGATGCAAACATTTGGATAGTGAAAAGACATAGAGACCCGAAGTCAGAAAAAAATAGAATTACTACCCCATGGTCGTACGCCTCCGCACACCAGTCAAGTTCCTCTTATAGTTTACAACCATGTCTGAGAAAACATTGATGCTTCATAGACAGAAGATCTATAAAACAGCACAGTTTCAAGGCGGACACCCAAGATTAGTGTCACCAAGTCAGTATCTGACTAAATGCCTCCCCTTCTGTTCCTGAGACATGACATTGAACAGTATTTTAAGCGAAACGTTATGATGTCACAATTAAGTTGACCTTTGACCTTTTGGATATAAAATTTCATCACTTCATATTTTATCCTAATAGACACATTTGTGTGAAGTTTTGTCAAAATTAGCATATGAATTTTGGCCAAAAACATATTTTGTGAGGTCACACTGACCTTGAACTTTAATCACAAAAATCTAATCAGTTTATTCTTCAGTCCAAGTGGATGTTTGTGTCAGATTTAATTAAAAGCCCAAGAATCAGACAGACAAGGTCAAAGTGACCCTGACCTTTGACCTATATCCACTAAAAAGGTATTATTTCATTCTTGCGTCTAAGTGGACATGTGCACCATATTTGAAGAAATTCCCTCAAGCCATTCTTCTCATCTTCAAGTCCAAGTGAATGTTTGTGCAAAATTTGAGGAAACTTCCGCGAGGCTTTCTTGAGATGTTGCATTAAGAGAATGAGAAACAAGGTCACAATGACCTCTGACCATTGACCTATGAACACCAAAAATGAATCAGTTCATCGCTGAGTCCAAGTGGACATTTGCGGCAAATAAGATATCACGTTCACAAGGATGGGACGGACAGACAGACAACCCGAAAATATAATGCCTCCAGTCACGGCTATTGCCGGCACGGAGGCTTAGAAATAGACAGTATATTATCATATAACCATGTGATGAAGGGAGGGCGGGGCCCTATGCCCAGCTCTGTAGGAAATTCTATTTCTTCATATGTGTGTAGCAGAAATACACTGCGTTAATCGCCCACCGCTAAACAAACAAAAACCCTCTTTAGATCTGGATGATTCACACAAGTCACCCAAACTGATGTAAAAAAACGGGTCATTCACTGAAAACCCAGTTGCTTGCATCCCTGTAACAAAGTCTTAACAAAGTCGAAAAAAAGACTGAAATCATCTTTAGATCCATCAGGCTGAATACGCTACCTCTCACAGCTTTGTCAATGAGCTCCTCACAGGCGTCAAAGTCTCCTTGCAGCACCAGCCGGTCATGCAGGTGGGTGAGCATCGGGTGCTCCAGTGCTATCCGAGTCTTCTTCTGCAGCGACTCAAACGCCTCTGTGTAGTTATGCTGTCGGAAGTGCTTGAGGCAAAGGCGGATGGCTTCCTGTTCTCTGTACTGCAGGAGAACAATGGAGAGGAAATAGATATAGGCAGATGTACAGAACAGTGACACGCTCAAATCAGTCCAAAAACACAACCTCCAGCTAGGGCTGGGCAATATGACCAAAATCTCATATCACGATATAGGTCATTTCATATCCCGATAACGATACATATCACGATATAGCACATTTTAATCCAGTGAATAAAAAGTTGTCGTGCCCACTGAGGCGGTACTCAGCACCACCTAATTTGGTCTGAATATGGGTTTTGTTGTCATTTATTGTCGCTATCTCGCTGCGTCTCTGCGGGGATGAGCCCTCAGTGTGTGCAGCACAGCAGCCCTACCTCCAGCTGTCAGCCACATGTTTGGGGCAGTTCACTCAAAGGGGACAACAATCCCATCTCAATTTGAGTGACACTTAATAACACCAAAGGCTTGGACAAACATATCTTTACTTACTTTTTCTGAGGTACATCTTTATTTTGATCATAATATTTACTCAACTTCATTTAAGATAAGGAGCCGTTTGTGTTTAAGGATAATTCTGGTTTACTAAAACTTGGCTCAGCTTGAGTTTCTTACACCATTAGAGTTTTTTAGCAGTCATCAAAGTTATTCTTACTTTTAGGAATGTTGGTCAGTACTATGAAAATGAACCTGAGTTGCACAAATCTGGATTTATCCTTCAAGGCAGCACCATAGAAACAGAATTACAATAGAATAGATTTACATTCAAATCAACATAGCAAGATGGTCAGGGCAGCCGTTTTGTCAGATTAGCTCAAATGAAGCAGATCTAGGGAATTAAGTGTCAACTTGCTGGAAATGAAATTGTAATGTTAGCTGATTCAGGAAATTAAGGAAAATAAAATGATCAATGGCACACTTTTTAAATAACATACTTTTAAAACTTTGGCTTGGTATCGTCTTTTCAAGTCAAAAGGCTCATGTCCAAATAAAGTCATGAGTCATTAGTACTAAAGTCCAAGTTGAGTTGCAAGACTTTTTTGATTGTTTTTAAGTTGACTCTAAGTTATCAAATTTGTCACTCGAGCCTGACTCAAGCTTAAGTCACGTGACACGAGTCCACACCTCTGGTTACTGTTATTAGGGGCCGGGAAGCCTAAAGGCCCATTTATGCTCAACGTTAAATACGGATCCGGATACGGATGGAGCCTTCTGTCCGTGCTCTGCGTTCATTTCGTCCATATTTCTGCACATTTCCATAAAGCTTACGGATATGGGCCAAACGGAGCAGTACCACCGGAAAACATGGGGGCAGTGTTGCTGTCACTACCCGATACGTAGCTCCAGTGAGACACGAAGAAGAAATAACAATTCAATTTCTCTCATCGGCAGTACTAGAGAAAAGAATTCTCCGTCCTCCAGTCGCAATGTATTTAACGGGATCACCGACCACCGCCTCCTACAACGCTGCCTCTGTTTTTGTCTTTTATGCAAGAGGTACATTATCAATATCTCCTCCACAGTCGCCATGTTTGTTTTTGAATTTGTTGTTGTCATAAACTTGACTCTGGGCTGCCCCCTGGTGGATATATTGGTTAACATCCATGCCAACGTAAAGGGCGCATGGAAGTATGTGGGCAGTGACGGTAACATCATTTGAAACGGACGTATACATTTTCATACGTAAAGGGAGCATAAATGAGCCTTAAGCTGCCAGGACCCTATTTTCTTCTTCTTCTTCTTCTTCTTCTTCTTCTTCTTCTTCTTCTTCTTCTTCTTCTTCTTCTTCTTCTTCTTCTTCTTCTTCTTCTTCTTCTTCTTCTTCTTCTTCTTCCGAGGAAATCCTACTTCCCATGCGCGAAAAATCACCAAACTTTGCACAAAGGTCCAGTCCCATGCCAGATTGCCTCAGCTGCAAAAACAGGCCAATAGTCCTGATGGTGGTGCTACAGCAAGCCTCTAAAGTTCAAAATTTTGAAAATTCACAACAAATCAACCATATGTACTACGTACACCAAAATGTAAGCCCAGTACTGACGAAACTTTTGTACATTTAAACCTATTGCAAATTATGAAGTCCATCACTCTGTGTTTTTTTTTCAAAAACTGTAAAACATATTAAACCTATCTCCTCCCACGATTTTTGCTCAATTGACACCAAACTTGCTACAGAGCATCTTCAGACTGTCCTACACAAACGATCCACACAGATTTTTGATTTATCGAAAATTGAGCCTGCAGTGCATCAAAATGTTTGACTGTAAACGGTATTGTAAACATATACTTGCAAATTCTTGCTAAATACATTTTCAATGTTCATTTGGAGTCATGGTAGATGATGTTTGGAAAATATCAGAATTTTATCTCAAAAACTGAATTTTTTTACAGCATTTTGAATTTCGCTCTCATGCGAACAATTGGAGTCAATGCAAAAATGGCATTTTTAAACATCAGTTTTTCACTTATGGAGCCAATAAATCTTTGTTAAAAACAAATTACCAACATCTCCATGCTGTCTAGATGCAATTTGTGTATTTTCAGATTTTTGTCTTAATAACTGAATTTTTGACAGCCATTTGAAATCTGCCTTTACACACTAACAGCTGCTGTCTTGCACACAGGTGACTGGCTTAGTCAATCTGTGAAGCTACATGTGACATTTCCGTTTGCCAATTAGCTCATTGAGATAGAGGATGGTTCTTGGTGTTGAAGATTGTTTGTTTAAGCCTCAGCTTTTGCAACATTTTCATATGAGAAATCTACCTTAACTTTTCATAAAGGTCCATTCCCATGCCAGATGTCCTCAACTGGAAACACAAGACAATAGTCCTGATGGTGGTGCTACGGCAAGCCTCTTAATTTCAAAACTTTGAAAATTCATAACAAATCAACCATATGTGCTACAGCTTTGGAACTTTCACTTTGAAATTTGCTTTTCCATGGCATGAATGGCTACTGTCTGGCACCCTAATGCTTGACTAGAATTGAATCCTATTGGCTCCGCTGCCATGCCGGAGCGGAGACGCAACCAACACGCATCTGGTGGAAATTGGCCATTAGTCAATTTGTGAAGCCACACACGAACTGTCACTTGCCAATTAGCTCAGTGAGATAGAAGACGGACCTCAGTCTCAGAAGTTGTGAGTTCAAGCCTGAGCTAAGGCAGAAAGGACATTCTAATGTGAAAGTCCTATGGTCAGGCATCATGCTATGTGGATTAGAGACTACTAAGGTTAAAATAATTATGATCCAGGCAGTTTCACGGATAGACAAATACTCTTTATCAACACTTTTCCCTGTTATCTCTTGTCTCTCTTCCCTGTTTATTTGGCTTAGCTATCAGTCAATATGCAGAGTCTATCCAATAGCTACTTTTACATTTTAAAAAATGTTTTCATCTTTGTCACTATGGATAATGTTTAGCTTTAAGCTAGATCAGGCCAGTTTGTTCATAATTGCTAGCAGTTAATGTTATTCTTACTTTCTTGTTCTTGAGTTTTTTCTTTCCTTTGTATATTATGAGTCTGATCACTTCAGCCACTCATCCACAATTTGAAGGGAATGCCATAATTATACGATGTAACTTCTATGGTGTGATATGCTTTGTTTTAGTGTGTGTGTGTATTACATTTTTCACATGGGCTTTTACATATACCACACATTCAGTGTTTTATGATGAAATAGATTATGACTTATCAGTATAATGAGCTAGAAGAAGTTTTAAACATATATACCACAGAGTTGTCTCTTGCTAATTAGCTCAGTGAGATAGAGCATAGTCTCTTATGCTTAGAATGCCACCTTTTTTTCCATCTTCCTACACTCTGCTTGTTGCTCAGAATTGCCTAATTTTGCCTAAAATTGCCCGGCCCCGACCATTGCTGCGCAGCAGCTATAATTTCCTCTTTGTTTTGTTGCTATTATTTCCATATTTGTTGAAACAGGATGTAACGTTATTGTAACTGCCTCCAAAGATGGAGTGAGAGTCGCTGCTTAGCTGCCAGTGGCTGGGAGGCATAACATTAGAGAGACTGCAAGCCTAACAGCATGTAGATCCAGCTGAAGAGAGAAACTTGGATTGGTGTGCAGACGTATATTTCTGTTGGATAAGGAAAACTGAAGAAGGAATAAGCCAAAACAGAGTTCTCAAACTAGTGAGTGTGACAAACTTTATGGCCCCACTGATGTATGTTGTCACCGTAACAACTAACAACAACCCCCATTTTCTTTTGTACTAGTCAAATGACCAGTGCAAACAGTGCAATGCCCTTTCTCCTTAGGGGTGGAAGTAGCTTAGTCCATAGAGACTTGGCTTGGGAACCAGAGAGTTGTCGGTTCAAGTCCCCGTACGGAACAAATATGGAGCAAGGACTGATACCTTAAGAGGTGTCAGTTCGCCTCCTGGGCACTGCTGAGGTGCCCTTGAGTGAGCCACTGAACCCCCTATCCAAGGCAGCCCCCTCACTCTGTCATCTCTCCATTTAATGCAAGTATAGGTCCTATTTGTGCATGTGTGTATATTCTGGGCTGTGTGTATATGATAACAGAGTGAAAAAAAAAGATATTGTATTGTACTGATATTGTATATCTTCTTCTTCTACTCATTTTTTTCAATGGACAGCCCTCGTGAATTTGAGAAGTTTGGGTTATCTTGCTAAACGAAAATCTTTTCAAAACAAATGTCTTTTTGGTATTGATAAATGAGAAGCTATTGCACTTGCATTTAGGCCTGTCGCAATATGCGATAAGTCGGTTAATTGCACGGTAAATTAAAGGGAGACGGTAACTTTTCCGGCCGCGATTAATTGCCATATTCATGCATGTTTGTTTTCCTTGACTCTCTCCACCAAAGAGACTGGACGACAAGAGCGTTCACTGCCGTGCATCATCTGGCAGCCAGGTGAGTTGGTTCATTAGAGTAATGAAAGGAGGTAAAGCTCTTGTCATTGAGTGTCTTTGTCTCTGTGGGGGAGGCAGGGCTATGGGCTACACACACAGACACAATGCGATCTTCGTGAGGGGGAGATGAGGCGGACAAAAAAAAAAAGAGAGAGTTGAGCATAAGAGAAAGACATGGAACTTGTTCCTAAACCAAATGCCGTGGCCCCTGTGTGGAGTATTTTGGATTTAAACCCAATGACAGAGGGGAGTCCAGTAATTTGGACGAGCCAGTATGCCGGGTTTGTTCTAAAACCATCTTAACAAAAAGAGCGAATATGACCAAGCAACATTACAACAATAATAAAAACGGTCTTAAAAGCACAATATTACGCAATATTATCACTTACCGCAAAATTTGTTATCGTGAAAGGCCTACTTGCATTGGTATAAACATTAACCACAAAAAAAACTCAGCCTATTTAAAACCTCTGCAATTAGAGCCATGTAGCCGTTTCTTGTGGGACTGACCCAAAACAAAGTTTTATGGCAATAAGAGGATGTATGTTTGCATTTATCTTGCCTTCAGTCACCTGATGCTTGGAAAGTATAGTACAACATGAACTGGGGTCAAACTGCAATCTGTATTGATGCAGACTCAATAAATGACATGAAGGAGGTCAGATGAAGTTCATCTGGATTGGCTGAATTTAAAGGCACTGCCAGTAGAAACATGGGACGACAAGTTAATAAACTCTTTTCTATTTATGTGTTTCTGTAGTGTCCTACGTAGCTTTCATTTACAGTCTCTAGTTTGGTTGTAATCAAGCTAAGATACCAACTTACAAGCCGGTCAATTCAACATTTTCACACTGGTTTGATGAAAGAAAACCGTGGGTTAGATCGTAGCCGTAGTTTTCCTGCTTGGGCACTTTTGTGTTGTTAAGAGACACCTCAGAGCTACATGTTGCGTTAGTTTACTTCTCCTGCCAGCTGATGAATCCATTCAGTTACAGATTGAGGCCTGCTGAATCTGAAATCCTGTCCCAGTTTACATCTCCAACCCCCAGGGCAGCCATCAGAAACTTACCTTGCTGTACCAGTTTAGGCAGGGCTGCACCACATCAGGATCTTCTATACCATGTAGCTCAATGTACCAGATGCTGAAATTAAAACTAGGACCCCAAGACATCAGAGGCACTGAGACGAAGAGCAAGAAAAGATGGAGAAAGAGGAAAACAGTGTGAAAAGACAGACATGTTCACAATGCATCTTTTTCTAGGACTAACAGAAACCACAGACACCTGAAATTATCACAGACATATCACTTCTCACCTATTTTAACAAATCTGCAGGGAAACATCTGCTCGTCGATCTTGTGCTTTAAGGTGAAAGTTTCCTTGTTGTAGTCATTCTTAAGGCCACTGGAACAGACAGAAAACAAGAATAGGATGATGAGAAATTACATTACTAGGCTGAGATTATGGCTGCAGCTATCAATTCTTTTAGTAATCTAGTATTCTATTGATTATTCTGGTGAATAATCGAGTAATCAAATAAGACATACTGCGTATTTTTATTAAATTACTTTAGATTTATTTAAGGGCAATAGTAACATATATATATATATATATAAAAAAGAGAAAATAATAAAAGTGTCTGAAATGAGATAAATTAGCAACAAATTTATTATTGCTCAGTTGAACATGGTGGAACCCTCTGCAAAAAGCTGTCCAAAGTATGACTCTGCGACTTAAGAGTATAATTTTTTTTTTAAATTGATATTTATTACTTGGCCTTCATAAATATCATACTTTAAGTTCCCTAAGTTTGACCGCTAGTTCAGATTCATTCACTGTGGTCAAGGGGTGTCCTACACCTGCTGACCCTACTTACTGCACGCCAAATTAATGTACCTGCTGCACTCGATCTGTGCGTTTAGGCTCCATTTTCTACTCTACAGCATTTTATTTTCCATGTGTTGTTGCTATATTCCCTAGCAAAACTTGGGTAATACACAATACATCGCCAGGTAACATTAGCCACCGCATTGATTTCTCTGATTATTATTATTGATCAGCCATTATAAAGCCATAATACGTTGCTCAGCTAGCAATGACCGATTAAGGTTAAATGCATCAAACATGACGTTATGATGGCTTCCCTGCTGAGTTCAATAAGCACTTCTGGGCCATTATAGCATCACTCTTTAATGAAATGATAAATGACAAAAGAAATTCAAGACTTCCTGAAAATATGTACACAGCCACAGTCTCACTCTTCCTAAAACACAACAAAGATCCAACACTTCCATCAAGTTACCGTCCCATCTCCCTTATCAACGCAGACAAAAAATCATCTGCAAGGCACTAGCCCAAGGAATAGAAAAAGTCACTGCATCCTTAATCCATCCAGATCAAACCGGTTTTATTAAGGCAAACATGCATCCAGCAACACCAGCAGATTATTTAACCTAACACAGTACTCATTACTACAACATCCAGGAACCATCATAGCCACCCTTGACGGAGAAAAAGCTTTTGATAGAGTAAACTGGAAATTTCTGTTTGCCACGTTGAGGAGATTTGGCTTTAGGGAATCATTCATTAATTGGATCAAGATTCTCTTCACCTCGCCTTCAGCCACTGTCGTCACCAATGGACTAACATCACAATACTTCACACTGCACAGGGGGACTAGGCAGGGATGCCCACTCTCTCCCTCCCTATTCACCATTTTCATTGAGCCATTAGCAGCCGCCACCCGTCAGAGTGCCTGAATACAAGGAATCCAAACACACACCACGCTGGCGCTTGATTTGAATAAAGAGAGACCAGCGATGGAGAGGATCCAGGGAGGGACTGTGACAGACTCAGTACTACTGCACATGGAACACAATAAAAAATATTATACTGTCTGACTCTGGATTTCCTTGCAGTGTCTGGGGACCCACTTCTACTTTTGGAGCCACCAGAAGATGATCCAGCTAGTACTGTACATTTTATTGAAATCACAGGCTTGGCATGTCCTGTTAAAAAATCTTAATACAAGTTCTCTTGGTACATGTATGGCAAGGGGAAGGCATATCTGCAGCTGTAGAATGCACATCTGCAGATGAGGAGATGGTGTCACTGGACTCCAGAAGGCTTGAGCTATCATGTCAATTTTGTGGAAATACCCTGCTTATTTAGTCCATAATGGATATGAAGAGAGTGATGTGGTGCTAAAAGAAAATGTTATGTGTGTAACAGGACCCAGGCACTGCACAGCCTCAGAAGCAGCCTGGTAACATTATAAGTATTGGCTAAAGTAAATCATTAAAGTAAATCAATACATTATGCATAGATCCTGCTGTGCTAATTGACATTTCTTTTACAGAATTCACAAACTACCAGAGCTCTATATGGAAAACATCTTGAGAGACAGATAGAGCTGGCAGAAATAAAAATTCAAGCGGAGAACAGAAAGCTGCAAGAAATGGAGCTTGATCTGGAAATTAAAAGAAGAACCGTTGTGAAACTGGACCTAGAAATCCAGAAATTAGAAAGTTAACTGAGTATTTCAGTGCACACTGTAACCATATCTGTAATACAGTGTATTAATCTTTGTTACTTTTGCTTTCTATTTCAGGTTCCAAGCAGACAAAAGAGGACTGGGAAATAAAACAATTGAACTAGAAAACATTGTGGTGTCCTCCCTTTTTCATGAATGTGCGGTATACCATTGATTTGGCAAAGTGAAATTTAAAAGATAACCACAGACTGTGTGCTACCAATGCCAGATAAAATGCACATATACAGCAAAAAGTAACATACAAGATCCTTTATTAAAGAGAGACTAAATTTGTGAATTTAACCTAAGTGGAAAAATGTGCAATATATTGCTCCCTGACCAGTCTGCCATTAATGTTGTCTGGGAAGATAGGAGCATTTTCCCAGTCAACATCGACAGCCATTCAGGGAGTCCTCTCCCTTCTTAGGCCTGCAATGTTATGCAGCGCTGTGCATGCAGCAGTGATATCACATGCCATGTCCTGGGAAACCCTCAGGTGGTGCAGGCACAGAAACCGAGATTTCAGAAGGCCAAAGGTCAACTTGATTCGAGCCCTTGTTTTGCCATATGCATGGCTGTAGGCCTGCTGGTGGGGTTTGGGGGTCCGCAAGGGGAGTCAAGAGGAATGACTCACAGGCATACCCTTTGTCTCCCTGCAGCATTCAGTGGAATTCCGGCGTTAGTGTAACACAGACCATCTGTGGTACAGTGAGAGCGTGGCTTCATGCTGTCTGGTGCTGTATTTTTGGACCCAGCAGCCTACATAAGTATTTCAGTCTATCACCAGAAAAACTATACCTCTCAATGAGATAGTCATCTCCAAAGGCCAATGGGTCTGACCTGTCTCGGAACTCTTTCACGCCTAAATGCTTGTCTGAGGATTAAAGGGATAGTTCAACATTTTGGCAAATTCGCCAATTGCCGTAATCCCTATAGTCATATGGGTAGGTACATTACCTATAATTATCAGTGCCTGTTGTTCTGAGATCGGTGGGGCAGAGCTGCCTGCTGCTCAGCGCACAAAATGGAGGTGAACGGTACGGCCCCCTCTCTCCCTCAAAACTAATCAAATACACCATCAAATGACTCCAAAATGCTCTTGTGGACAACTTGTATCTTACACATTCACCACGCTATGAAATAATAATGTAATATTACGAGACAGAGTTGTTTTGAAGCCAAATGCACAGCCGGAACTACATTCCAGACATACAGTACTTGCTGGGCGGAGTGATTTCAAACAGCATGTTTAGTGCAGTTCACTATGACCTCAATAATAAACAAAGTAGAATCATCACTTTCTAGAAAATGTCAACAATAACCGAAAATTTATCAGCTTCGGGGAGAAAATCATGGTATAGCCATTCTACTGGATTGCACTGATTACACAGGTGTACCTAACAAAGTGGCCAGTGACTGTATGTTACATATGTTGATGGTGGGATGGGACGAGAGTACACCTCAAAATAATCAACGGATCACGGGGAGAACATGCTAACTCTCATAAATCATCACAACTCCTGAGGGAACAACAACATAAAATGTTCCCTAGCAGTCTGTTTATTCCCAACAATGAGAAGTAATGCCAGTCACTTCACTATATGCTCTGGGCAAGCACTTATCCATAACATAACCACAACAACATTTGCATTTTAGCCTTATTTACCATGCTTGGGTTGTAGGCTAATGTTACTCAACATGGAGGTAACGTTACAGCAGTGAGATTGCTGAGCAAAATACACAATGATCACTTACCACGTCTGCTCGTTTTGTGATGCCGACAGATGGTATGGCAGTATCTTTCAAGAAAAGCGTCTGAACCATTCCTGAGCTTCAGCGCTCAATCCTTTCACTGTAGTCCTCTGGTAAAAAATGGTTGGAGCAAACAAACATTTTCCAGACCATTTCCACAGGCGTGTTGGGGTCGATGTCCAGCACAAATAGCCAGCACAAATAGCCATTGTTTCATCCTGTCCATATTTTTGGTTGGTACTACATGAAACTTCACTCTCCTCCATGTCTTCGGCTTGTTACCGCAACCTTTTACAATACATGTGTAAACCATGATTTACAACAACACTCAACAAACTTTTCTCAAACTTTCTGGTGGGTCCAGCTGACGATACTGCAAATACAAGGCTGCAAGCAATAACTACAGCACTGTCTCAGGTGCGCAATGTGTCACCCCGCCCAGTGGTTTACTCAAGAAAGTAGTTCAGAGTATTTGCTTCATGTGTTGTAATGTTACTTAATTATACATTATTATTTCATAGCGTGGGGAATGCGCAAGCCATGTGTTGTCCACTAGAGCGTTTTGGAGTCATTTGATGGTGAGCAGCGGGCAGCTCTGCCCCACCGATCTCAGAACAGCAGGCACTGACAATTAAAGGTAATGTACCTACTCATATGACTAGGGGTGTCCCTGACTAAGAATGTTCATGGTCAAATCTGATTTGACAGATTTTTCCTTTAGCCGACTAATCGTCAAATCATGTTGTTTTCCCCCTCATTGATTAATGAGCTCATTTGCGTCAGTTTCCACTCCAGACAAAACAGCTAAAACACCCAAATAAACAAATTTAATTCTTCAGTTGGCATAATAAGATAATAATAATAAAAGTAAAAGGGTTATCATTTTATCTTTTATCTTTATTCCTTTCACTTCATCAAGGTGAGCGCAGACGCGCTGCTGCCTCATCCATGTCTTAACAGGAGTCGTTTCTGACTCGTCAGAACTTGCCATTTCATTCACAAATAAATATCCAAAAACATCATCAAAAGGTTTAGAAACAGTTTTCCTTCTTTCTGACTTCAAGTTCCTTCATTAATCAACTCAGGTTCATACAAGTTCATCCACACGGACCGTGCATCA